GTTGACACAGATGAGCTTTCATTCGAATGTATTATACATGTATCAAGTTAATCGTGAAAAAAAACAAGGCTCCGACATTTCATATCTACTTTGCAGGACTATTCTGGAAATATTTCGACTTTTGATGACTAAAACGTCACGTTAGTTGTTGTGTCTTGCAAACTACGACAAGTTACTTAAACTGACTAATGGCGTGGTCACATTCGTCGTAGATCATCGCGCCATCGTGATATCGCAGAATTTTCAAGCAGTCAGACAAAAATCTATAACGGCCTTTTCCGTAGCCTAACAGCTGCATGCCCGTAGCCAGGGGGGGTTCGGAAGAACCCCCCCCCACAAGGCTCAAAGGTCCACTTTTAGGTCCACTTTTTATGTAAAGGTCCACTTTTTGGTACACATTTTATGTAAAGGTCCACTTTTTGGTCCACATTTTATGTAAAGGTCCAAGATTTTCTTGAAAAGATGGACTGGAATCGTAGAAAAACTGCTCCCTTTGTCATGGAATAAAAATTTATCTCTGATTTTTTCTTGGAAATCCTTTCAAAAATGCAGGAAAGGCCATTTTAGAAGGTTCAATTTTCAAAATTTTCCGGGGGAACATGCCCCCGGACCCCCCTAGGAACCTCGCGCCTACGGCGCTCGAGGTCCCCTCAAGCAGTGGGAAGAACCCCCCCATTCAAAATCCTGGCTACGGGCATGAGCTGACTACTGCAGTACACTCACTCAAATATCCTAGGGATACCCTCATTTACACCGACCTGTATACCACCAACAAAGAGTGACGCTTCTCGGCAATCTACAGAACCTAGTAGGCTATATCCTTGATTTGCATAACTTGTCTAAATAAGCCAGGATCAACCTATTACTTAGGGTTCAGCCTTCGTGTGTCAAGAAACTAAAAGAAATATTTTTATTTTGACATAATCATATATTGGACTGAGGATATATTGTTGATACCAAACTTGCCTACATTTAAAGTGTGCCGTCACCACGTCTTGTGATCACATGTTGGAATATGAAAAAAAATCAACATGGCCTAAATTTGAAAAAAAAAGGCTTAGCATATCCCCAATTTTGCGACCTGGTCCTATAATCCGACTGAGAGCGATGCCTTCTGTGACGTCAGTGGTAACCGGTGTGTCTGTGACGTCAGAGTAAGACACACTTGCTTTTCTCCGCCCAGGGGTTCTTGGACTTGGGAGGAGGGTGCAGCATGTAGTCCGTCTTCATGCGTTCTTCCACGAACTTGATCAAGCTGGAAAGGAGACGCAAACCACTTGTGAGGAAGGTACTTTAAATACTACAGAAAATGTATGTGGTAACACATAGAAATACTATATCAAAAAAACATGTATACTCTCCCGTTGGTTCCAAAACACATGTAAAGTTATCCAGTGTTCACACTAGATAGATTTAGCCCTAGTGTACTGTGTGTCTGGCATCCAGGCTAAGCTCCTTTGGCAAATATTCTCCTATATATAGTCTGGTACAGACTATGAGATTAGTGCTAATCTTCTTCCTGCCTTATCTGATCGTCTTACTTACTTGATTCGTTTTGAGGATCCTGATATAACACGCCTGATCCTAAATTACGTGACGTTTTTCCTCTAGAAAATTTTATATATGCAGCATATGACTCAGCTGTTGCATTCAGGGATCAAAATAATAGTATTAATGTTGCTGTTGTACAATGCAACTGTTGCCTAGTCCAAAGTCAGGTTGCCAACATTAATTTGGGGGATGTAGAAAAATAGTTTGAGTTTAAAACATTTATGGCAGGCCTTGTCATAGCTAAGTTATTTAAGAGGGCCAGAGGATCTCTCGATAACTGAAAACGCTTGAACTATACGATTCACAGAAATGGAAAACAGCTGCGTCTCTGTATCTGTATCTGTATAGCCGGTATAACCGCCTTTCGGCGTAACACACCAGCTTCGCAGGCACGCGGCGCGGCGGCAGCTGGCTATATTACACCGATCGACTTGTTACACCTAACCCTTGAACTTCTAGCTCTAGACATTGTTTAAAGCTATCTATTGACAGTGCCCCTACTGTACTTGGTGACAGTGAGTTCCACTCTGCGATAGTTCTAGGAAAGAATGAATTCTTGAACACCTCAATCCTTGGTTGATAACTCTGGTACTTGAATGCGTGGCTATTTCTTGTTCTCTTCTGAGCTGGTATTAGGTACTTAGGTCTGCCTCCATTGATGGTATATATTACGAAAGCCCAAAGGTACAACCTGCAAACGAAGCTGTTTGCGGAGACAACGCAACGCAACTATTTTCGTAGACGACGCAGCTTTTCAATGTACCTTTGGTCTTTTGTACAATGTGACTCACATGAAAACACTATACACAGGCTACACGCTCGTATCATCACCTGGCTAATTGAAGTTGGGAGCTTCACGCGAGCGCTTTACATCACAATCAAAATCCCTAATCTAGCTTAAGTGCAGCAGGAAATAGGCTTTCAAACTAATACCCCCTGTACCTATAGAATAGGATTAATCATTAAATATGTACACCGAGATTGAAAACAAATAATGAAAAAAAACAGTTAAGGGGAAGATAGCACATTACATCAAGAGTTTTTTTTTCTGGATGTTGAGAATGGAAAGCCATGGCCAGGTGGGATGTTATTCGCTGAAACCGAACTCCCCTGCGCGAATTTTCTTCTCGTTAACACTTAGTTGCAATCTGAAACGGTCGATGCCATATCACTGACTGGTGAAAAATCGTGAAATCGTGCATCGTGAAAAATCATATACAATTTGGTGATGAAAATAGTACAGATTCAGTTTATCGCACATAGAGGGATATTGCAGCCAGATGTTCAAAACAATTGCAAGCTCGGATTCGAACCCGGGTCCAAAAGCCTGATCTTATAACCCTAATTTTTTACATCTGGAAACACGGTGTTGACAGAGCGTTCTAGTACACCTACACTTTGCCGTTCTGCGATATAGCTTCGGCTATGGACATGGTCGGATAGGACATAACAGCGGCCGGTGTCACAGCGATCCGCAAATACAACGAAATGCTATGATTAGAATTATTTAACATATTTGTGTACTTGGACATGCTTCAACGGAAGTTTTTTAGGAAATAAGTGATTTTTTGGTGCGGGGCGAAATCGCTAAAGGGGGGCGAGGCGGGGGGACCAAATCACTAGAGGGGAGGACGAAATCACTAGAGATCTCGACCCGGGGAGGGCAAAATCGCTTAGGATTTCGACTCGGGGAGGGCGAAATCCCTGGGGGCAAGATCGCTGTGACACCGGCAACAGGTCCGTACGTAACAGGTCCCACCACATACACGTATCAATACGAGGAGAGGTCCGGTATTAAACATGCTGTGGTAGGCTTTTTGAGGGGCAGTCAGTCGTTTTGTGTCAAGTGCATAATATTATGAAGCGGAGCCCAAACCTCTATTACCTTTTACCTCCCCAACCGAAGTCAGGTACCAATACTTACACCTGTGGCTACCTGTTATTATAATTACACGACCAACTACAAAACCGGCGTGTTGCGCCCCAACCTAATACGAAAACAAACAAACAAGGCAAGCTGCTTACTCAGGTATGGACTCCGACATCATGATCCTCTTCTGCCCCAGCTGATACTTCAGTGTCTTCACTTCAAACGTCAGCCTCTCCTCCTCAGTCATCTCTGGGACTTCCTCTGGTTCCGCCATGGTTCGTCCTGCCTTTCCGTCGACTCGGAGAGTTTCAAACCTCAAGCTCTGTTTGTGGCAAGGCTTCCCTTTAGGTTTCTTCAATGTCTGTCAGCCAAAAGCCTGGCTTCTTTGTTGTTGTTTTTTTCGGTAAGTTTTCGGCAGGATCCTGTAGATTGTGGCTTCTGTTTGTAGCCAAGCTTCCCTTTGGGTTGACCAACGCTCCTTCTATGTTCCACAGTCCAAAGCCTGGTTTCTTTCTTTTATAAAGAATCCCGTGGATTTCAATACTGGGCGAGAATACAGAGGCACGACGCACGGGTACACGACACAGAGCTGAGGTTACACTGTATGTAATCTTACCAGCCGGCTGTCGTAAGCTAATAATGGCTCACAGACGTCAGAGTTGCGTGAACTCAGTGATCGCTAGATCAAGGACGTTGGTGATGCCCTTAGTCAGACAGATACTGACGGTTTAAAGTCTGAATGGTGACTGTCTCAGTACGGCTTTGGTCCCCGGGTACTGCCTACAAACACCTGAGGCAAATTTTGGTCGTGATTGTGCGTGTGACACTCGGAGGTAGTTTCCGCTCTTAATGGAAACAATCTAGTTTGAATGAATTGCCATTAGCGTTCTCACACCACCGGGTGTCATTTTCATTTTCACACAGATTGGATGAGAGCATTGCGCTATTTTAGGAAATGACCGTCGTTTTCATATCAATAGAGGAGTGACAAAGGCCGTGTTCATGTGAAGTCAGTGAAGGCGCTTTACATGTGGTTTACCCCGAAGCCGGTTTTAAGTGGCTCCATCTGAACGCTCCGAAATCACATTGAAAGCACCTCGATCCCAAACCACTTCTAAAGGTGGTTTCGAATCGTTTTTCAATGTGATCTCAATGTAACTTCGCCTGGTCATGGACTACGGGGTGATATTTCTTTATTTATATGCAATACCAACTTTTACGTGGCAGCAATTTAAAGAGTAGTAATGGTCAAATAATGTGTCCGTTCTAGGGCGAGCTTCACCGCCTCTGGCGGGACCACGTCGGCATTCGGCCGAGATACGCTGGGAGGGGGGCATCAGCAAGCAGGTCGTTGACCTCTGACATTAATAACACGCTACCTTGTGTGTTTTCATCAAACAACAATAAATGTAGCTCAGGCGAATTGTGATCGGACACGTTTTCAAAGGAATGTGAGGCACGTGGACCAGATGTGAGGAATGCGAGTTACCCGAATCGCGGTTTGGGTGACTTCACATGAACAAGGCTAAAAGCATCCAATGCAATTTCAGGAGCGAAAAACTAAAACAAATATTCTGGACAAGGAAATCTGTCATATTGACATTTTCTTAGCACATTTTTGTCAACATTTCATACTTGAAGCGTTTGAAAGTCCCTGTTTGGAGTCCCTTTTTGTACCACCAATAAACAGCAAGAACCAGCGTACGATACGGAACAAGCAACCGTTTTCAGTTAGGGACATCGTATTTTTGCCTTTATTAGTATTAGACAAAATCAGCCACAAATTTCGCATACGACTCCATTTACATTTTTGGCATACACCACTTTAAATAATTGAATTTCGAGGTTTGTTACCCAAAAAGTTATTGCATCATTGTATGAAATCCAACTGGCATAATGGCATAAGATTGGGTATGTTACATAAAACTACTGTATGTTGATGACCTTGAAAATTAATGAATACGATCACATGTAAATCTAGAAAAACAAAGGGCAAACATAGGCATTTTCAATCTAATAATATGTGATGCCCCAACTATATAAATTGTACCGGCGTAATTATGCCAATTATATATATCTGTGTGTGTGTGTGTGTGTGTGTGTGTGTGTGTGTGTGTGTGTGTATAGCACAAGTAGTACAGAAGGGAGAATGAATGTACTATAACAGAGACATTTAACGTACATTACGTCAATAATCTATTTGCAACCATATTCCTGTAGTCATGGTCTTATTTATTCATTTATTCACATATATTTATTGAGTATTCATTCAATCCTCTCTCTAGTAGATCCTCCATGTTGAGACCTGTATCCTGGGACGTACCGTCAGTGTCAGTGGGAGAACTCCTGGATATTTCCTTCTCGTCTGGATCTGGGTCTAATGATTCAGAATAAATCAACCATCAGGTCACACCAATTTAATTTCTTGGTTAATTGATTCGTCCGCTTTTTTTTCTGATTTGCAAAAAAAATTCAGAATCAACTGCAACATGCTCATATTTTGACCTGAACAGTTGAAAACAATCCTTTTCTTCCTAGTTGTTATACTTATTTCATGTTTTAATGCAGTGGTAAAAGTTCAAAATTCATTGTTTAAATTTTGATCCAGCCTGGTGTGTTGACTTCATGGCTCCTATCGTACCATTTTGGGCCATGATAGGATGCCTAGGCCTGTTTTTTTTTTCACCCGCCCGCTCCATTATTTTTCTAGAAAAATCCGTTAACCAAGAACTTAAATTGATGTGGTCTCAGCGAGTAGTGTAATCAAGGATGTAAGCAAAGGGATGTGCATATCATGTGCCAAGCCCTCAACCATTTAGGCCGTGTCTAAACGGAATCACCCAAGGCGGTTTACATGTGGTTTACCCCGAAGCCGGTTTCAAGTGGCTCCATGTGAACGCTCCGAAATCACATTGAAAGCGCCTGGAGCCCAAGCCACTTCTAGAGGTGGTTTCGAATCGGTTTCCCCGCATCGCGATTTGCGTCTGAACGCAATGTGATTTCAATGTGACTTCGCCTGGTCATGGATTACGGGGTGATATTTCTATATTTATATGCAATATCAACTTTTACGTGGCAGCAACTTAAAGAGCAGTAATGGTCAAATAATGTGTCCGTTCTAGGGCGAGCTTCACCGCCTCTGGCGGGACCACGTCGGCATTCGGCCGAGATACGCTGGGAGGGGGGCATCAGCAAGCAGGTCGTTGACCTCTGACATTAATAACACGCCGCCTTGCGTGTTATCATCAAACAGCAATAAATGTAGCTCAAGCGCATTATGTTCGGACACGGTTTCACAGGTGTGTGTGGCACGTGGACCAGATGTGAGGAATGTGAGTTACCCGAATCGCGGTTTGGGTGATTCCGTATAGACACGGCCTCAGTGCTTTGAAATTGGCAGCTGTTGTGCGTAAGTCACAAATTACTGAAACCAGATTAAGGGTAATGACCTGCCTAGAGGTGTATATGATGTCGTAAGGTCTGGTCATTTCCTATAACCACCGATTGAATCTCCGAGTGAGCGCAGCATTGTCCATTATGCGAGTACTCCCAACAAAGATGGCGGGCAAAGTGAAAATTGTTGTCCGATCTCATGCCCTGAGGCTGATCTCTGGACTGTACGACAATTAGGATTTGGAGTTTCTACTGTTTATGTATGATTTAGCATTCATATGTTCATTTACTATTTTGCTATTTCTTTTCTGTTTTTTTTTTGTGTGTATGTTAGAGTCCCTTGGAAATTAACCGGTATGCATGGGCTGAAGGGTCTACCTTGAAAGAGGAATAAATAAATCTCGTGCCCAGGGCACTGTGAATCGTTCTACCCTATTGGCTGTGTTGTTAACGAGATTTAGACATCAATATGAAATGGGGATTTCTAATTGGTCGACATCTGGCTACATGTTACACTCACTACAATGGGTAAAACTTTTTTTTAAATCATTGTATGTGAAATGCTTCATGCTGGAGGCTTTACCCACCTCAATAAGGGAGTTATTAGAGAAGGGTTTACAGTCATGTCCTCATGGCTTAGAACCTTCCTGGTCACATGACTTGCCAAGTAGCCAATCAGAACGGTGATCAGCCAGGTGAATATACTGTACAGCATGAAGGAGACCTGAACAAACAAACAAACAAACAAACAGGGAATTAAGTAAATTGTCAGAAGTTAGTACGTGTCCCTGTTGCATTTATCAGAAACCAAATACATGCCCTTAAAGAGATTTCGTTACTGTTAAACTTATCCAAGACGACCATGCTGGGGACTTAGGAAAAGTGGTCTTGTTAGAAGTGGCCGTCTTACAAAAACATGGCAAAAATACAGTACAGAGAAAAAAACGCAACAAAATTTCCACTCATTTTACAATAGACTGCCCCCCCCATTGACCCAAAGTGACCCAACAGGCTCCATTTTATATTGCGCAAAGACTGACATGCTGTCAACTGGCTTTTCCATCAAAATTTCTCATTAATCATCAAAAACGTTTTTCGCTACATGCTTGAAAATGACTGGGCAAAGATTGGGCCATGTGTGGTCCCAAATCAAGTCAGTTGAGATCGGTCGCGTAGGTGGTCGGCTTAGGCATGTTCCTTAATGTTTATATCTCATCTATGGAGAAAAATTGGGACCGAGAAAAAGCGGTCGCTATGGTCAGATAGCTCACTTATAGAGGCGGTCGCTTGGGCAAGTTTGAGCTATTCCTTCAGCTATTATCTTTGCACACTTTGCTTTATAATTTGTATTTTTTTAGCCAGTCCACTTACCCTGTAAAGCCAAAATGCAGTTTCCCTAACATTTCCATGTTCATCTTTGCTGAGGAAAGCTCCTATGGCCATCCAGAGGGACAGGGACAGTCCTGCAGTAAACCCTGTCAGAGCTCCCCTGGAAAGTTAACAGGCAATAGAACTGTCAAATATAGACAGCACAGAACTGGCTATTTATATCAATTGATGTCAATGGTTTATTTCAATGGCATTGTCACCAACATTGCAGCCAAGACGGCTGAATTGCGTCAGAACAATTACAATTTGGATAGACGTGATGAAAAACATATTTACATATAATATACGGACTTTAAAAGTTATGTACAGAATTTATCGGATTATCTGTTATTGTGACAAGTAAAAACCATTTACGGCGAAATACATTAACAATTACAGCATTTACAGCGAAGTACATTAAACCATTTACAGCGAAATAAATTAACATCCATACGAAATTGTCAACAGGTGATAGAAATGGTTCAGGGCACTATAATGTCTCACTGTGATTCAAAAGTTCGATCATATACGGTAGTGCACTGTTCGTATAGCGTCCCGTACAGAGGGTTCAGTTTGTGTGAGGAACGAGTCTGTCAACTTAGATAACACTAAAACCGTCAGTCTGGGGAGCACTAAAACTGAAATTTGTCTTCCCTTACGGCAGCCTTTCTGTCAGTAATTGCCAGTAGCAATTCAGTCAAGACAGTAACCATCAGTAAGAGATCAGTCTGGATAAAGTCTTCAGTAACTGTATTTGTCAGTTGTATTACTGCCCTGACAGTTATGTTGATTTACTAAAATGTCACTGAAATGAGACTGTCAGTAACTAGCAATACTGGATTTTCCTAAGGGTCATCTATAGACTTTTACTATATCTTGTTTATTTGTTTATTTTGATTTTTCACAAAGTGAAAGGGAGGGCAAAACAGGTGCATACGCACCTTTACAAGTCCCCCTCCCCCATTTCTTTATTGCACAGTGGAAAGCGTGAAAGAAAAATTTAAATGCATTTTCTTGAATGAAAATTTCTAGAGCAAAAAAGAAACATGGATAAAAAAAAGTCTAAAAACACGCAAAAAAATAACCCCAAACCTAAACCTCTGCTTGGAGAGTACCTCATATGTACAGATGTCAGTTTGCTATGGGATAGAATTGATTCAACTTACCGGGGATAATAAAATTAAAAGAATGCATGAAAATTCTAAGTCAAGTCTAAGTCGTTTCTAAGATTATTTGTCGAGTTCTCCGCATCACGTACCCTGAGTTTGCTGATGGAAGGAAGATACCCAAGGTGAAGAGACCGAGCAAGGGGCCACCGAGGGCACCAAATATGGAGTTAGTATCTTTGATAAGTGAGCCGATCTGTGATGCCAGAAACGACAGTCCCACAGTCATGGCTCCATACAGCACGGCTGGACAGGCAAAATGGACAACATCAGTAACATGTCATATTCTACACTGGATACCAAACTCGTTTCGGGGCGCTAGCAATTTCCTTCGGAAGCCAAGAGCCCTTCGCCCGCGGGTCTAAATTACCGCTACGTAAACAGGGAAACTAGCCCGGGGGTGTTTGGCTGGCCCTTTCAACGAGATAGTCCTGAGGGTCGGACAAACCCCTCGGGCTCAACTCCCCGTAGCCACCGTAGCGGTAATTTAGATGGGCGGGCGAAGGGCTCTTGGCTGCCGAAGGAAAACGGCTAAAGGCCCGATCCATCCATCCAACTCCTCTGGCTCATCATGTTCCCCTTGGCCGATTTCTACAAAGGAGTCTGGTGGAGACTAACGGATTAATGAAATGTTTAAACTTTGTTCCTGTTTAAGTTTATATTCACGTATTTGCGGGTGCCATCCTGTCTAATAGTTTTAAAATGTTGTGTTGGAAAAAATGTTGCCTGCCACAGATTATAAAATTCAACATCAAATAAAAAACGTTAAAAACCCAGTTTGCGTGCAGACACTGTATACGTTCTGCCAAATTGTGCTACTCACACAGTCCTCTGGATATCCAGGTATCCCTGGCCTCCTGTCCTGCAGTACTGCCTGATGATGACGTCAGTCTTCTCCGGTTCCTGATTGGTCGAATGATGTCCACCAGGGTAACAGTCGCTAGGGCGTTGAACCCAGAAGCTGCAACACTAATTTGGGGAGTTGAAATATCCACTTAGTATATTTTTGAATTACTAACAGTTCCTTACTTTCAATCCATCCATCCTTCCACCCATCCATCCATCCATGCATCCACCCATTCATCCACCCATCCATCCATCCATTCGTTCACTCATCCATCCATCCATCCA